GCAGGGGAGAACGAGATGCCGCACCATAGATCGCGCAGGAGCGAGCGAGCGGATGAAACGAGCAGATCGCGACAGAACGAAGTATCAGAAGATGTGGGGCGAAGAAGATGCCGTGGAACACAGCACCAGAGGTCCGATCGAAGGAACAGCGGCAATACTCAAACAAAGCGAATGAAGACTCCGCAGAACTCAAAGACAAGAACGAGCGCTCCGGTGAGGAAGCAGTCGAAGATGCCAGCCAAAGATAACAAAAGCTAAAATTTCAAGGATTCAGGCTCTGATACCATGACATTATTTTGAGCAAATAGGCTGAATGTCTTTTCTTTTGCTTTACTTCTAATAAAATAGTAGTTTGTACATAATCACAACCTAAATAATTAGCTAAAAGGAAATAATCCGTGTAAATATAATATTTCCTCTTTGCAGTATTGAGAAGAAGGAAACTTTTTATTCTATCTGATTTCTTTTATTCTTGATTGATATCAGAGCTTTGTTGGGAGCTTTGTTGATATCAGAGCTTTGTAAACTCTTTGTTTGAGTTTACAAGTGGTATCAGAGCTTTGTTGGGAGGTGACAAGAGGTGAGGAAGCAGTCAAAGATGCCGATCCGTGACGAGGGCGTCACGTGATTGAGTGAAGGAGAATTCCACGGACAAATAGTCCCACATCGGCTAGGTGTAGGGCCGAAAAGCAATATTTAAGTCCTGTGTTGCCCACCTCTCTTAAGGGCTCTTTTGGGATGTAAAAAGTGGTATCAGAGCTTTGTGTCGAGTGTCATGGTTACATGGATATGAACACATTGCCTCCAGTTGTCATACTAGCACAGTTGTTTTCTTCAACAAGTAGGGTGCATCGGAGGAAGTGAACGAAGGGGAGGTAGAGGAGCAAGGTGAGAAGTATCAGCTCTATGGAGATGAGGTGAGATGTTAATTGTAAGGAGGGCTCTGCAGGATGAACCAAAGAGGGATCACTCTTGGTTAGGATAGCATCTTATTATTGGAGAGAGTTGCAAAAATGTGGTCTCTACTCTTATGGTTAAGAAGATGGACTTGGCTTACTCCTAAGCATTCTCAGCCCTATTATTTGACCTGGATCAACAATGTTCGGTAGAGTTATCTATTGGGGACTAGCTGCAGGATCAGGTATGGGGTGATGTTGTGCCCATGGATGCCTAACACACTCAGTTCGGAAGACCTTGGTAGCTTGATTGCATGACTCCGAATGATGAGTTCAAAATCACCTACTCGGTCACCAAGGAGGATAAAAGCATAGTTCTTTTGCACATCAAGGAGTTTGGAATAGCTGACACTCAAGTTGAAGAAGAGATCGTGGTCCCGCATATCTATTGGGGAATAACACACTCAGTTCGGAAGACCTTGGTAGCTTGATTGCATGACTCGGAATGATGAGTTCAAAATCACCTACTCGGTCACCAAGGAGGATAAAAGCATAGTTCTTTTGCACATCAAGGAGTCTGGAATAGTTGACACTCAAGTTGAAGAAGAGATCGTGGTCCCACATACCACCTTTTTATAGTCAGGTGGCCCTAGTGGTGATGGCCTTAAGTCACATTAGAGGGGACTGAGGAGAGTGAGTTAACATAGATGATACAGTCGGTACTAACTAACTTTCAGGATATAATTATTGACAGCTTACCTAAGAAACTACCACCACTTAGAGACATTCATTGTGTCATAGATCTCATCCCTGGATCGGCACTCCCTAGTAGTTCTACTTATAGATTGGTATGAGAAGTTGCAATGGCATGTACAAGACCTTATTATTAGAGGGTTGGTTGAGGGAGAGCACAAGTCCATGTGTTCATGATTTGAAGGTGCATAAGAAGATAGTTCGTGCAAAATGGATATAGATGGCCAAGCTATTAATAAGATCACCATCAAGTACAAATTTCTTATACCTCATTATTGGATCAGTTGCATGGAGTTGTCATATTTTCCAAGATTGCCCTGTAGGACAAATATCATCAAATCAAGATGAGGAGAGGCATGAATTGAGGACTGCCTTCAAGACCTAAGATGGGTTGTATAAGTAGACAATTATGTCTTTTGGACTGTCCAATGTACCTAGCACTTTCATTAGGCTGATGAATCGGGTGTTCAGAGCTTAGATTGAAAAGTTCATAATTGTATTCTTTGATGATATCCTAATCTACAGCAAATATGAAGTACACTTGCAACATCTGAGGATCATCTTTGAGGTATTTCGATTGGAGAAGCTACATGCCCACCCGAAGAAGTATAACTTAATGACGGCACAGATATGTTTTTTGGCTTATATTGTATGTGGTGTAGGAATTCAGATGAACCCTATGAAGATAGCGGCTATTGTAAGTTGGACACCCCCACAATTTTTTATAGAGTTAAGGCATTTTTTAGGGCTGACATTTGTAGGAGATTCATCATGAGCTTCAACGCAATTACAGTTATCCTGACAGAGCCCTTGAAAGAAGAGAAGTTTCATTGGACAGAAGCCATTTGGTCCAGCTTTGACATACTGAAGAAGAAGGTGACTCCGGCCCCAATGTTAGCACTACTAGGCTTCAGTCAGTCATTTGAAGTGGAATGTGATACTCCAAAGTGGAATGTGATACTCCAAATGTGGGGATTATAGCAGTGTTGAGTAAAGGAAGGCATGGGCATCCCACAATTGTCTTCGGTAAGAAGTTGAGTGACACCAGGAGGAAGTATTCGACAAATGATAAAGAGTGTTATGATAATGTGAGAGCTCTAAATCATTGAAATCACTATTTGTTGACTAGTGAGTTTACCATATCCACAAATGATGGGGCTCTGAGGTTTCTAAACAGTAAGAGCAAGCTAAAGGTCAAACATGCTTCGTGGGTTGAGTTCTTGGATTCATTTTAGCAAGGCAGAGAGTCAGAATCTAGTAGCAGATGCCTTGAGTCGTCACCATTTATTGATCACCTCTATGTAGGGTAGAATAGTGGGATTCGAGGTGGTGAATGAATTATACAAGACGGATGAAAACTTCAGGGAGATTTGGAATCTATAGGACGACACCACATTATGATGGCTACATGTTCCATCAAAATAGGACGTGTTCCCATATGTTAATTGACAGAATCCATCACACAGGAGAGTCACAGTGGATGATTTGCAGATCATTTGGCAGAGACAAGACCCTCGCACTTGTGAAAGAAAATTTTTTGGCCTATACATGTGAGATGTAGAGAGGTATGTCAAATAGTGCAGAGTTTGTCACCTAGCAAAAAATTGAGGGTCGAATACACGGCTATATACAATATTACTAGTACCAGAGGCTTCGTGGTTGAATGCTAGTATGGATTTCATTGTTGGCCTTCCTAGGACAGCGGAATAAGGATTTAGTGATGGTAGTGGTTGACAAATTTTCAAAGATGGCTCATTTTGAGCCTTGTCACAGCACATGGGATGCATCACATGTAGTTGATGTATATTTCAAGGCAGTAGTGAGATTGCATGAGATACCAAGGACCATTACTTATGCTAAGTATGTCAAGTTCCTGAGCCACTTTTGGAGGCCTTTATGGGGAAAGCTTGGTACTAAGCTTCAGTTTAGCTCAGCAGCTCACCTACATACAGATGGTCAAACATAAGTGGTGAATAGGAGTTTGAGGAATCTCCTGAGGTGTTTTATAGGGAAGAACAACAAGCAGTGGGATCAGATTCTAACCCACACTAAATTTGCTTGCGATAAGTCCGTGAGTCAGATTACAGAACATACTCCCTTTGAGATTAAAAAGAATAAATACTTACATTGAAATGGGAATGCTTAAATAAAATGAAAGCTTATGCTTTGAATAAGTAATGAATTACACTTCTTTTGGTCATTTATGCATAGCATTCGCATTGTAATTTAATGCATATTAAAATTAGAATTGTTCACTGAAAACCTACTGTTGAATTTAATAATTTCTTTCAAGAAAATCAAAACTATAGATTGATATGTCCGATATGAGAGACTTAGTTTACAGGAGGACAACAGCTGATAGGTGTCATGTTATGAAGTGATTATGGTTTCTTCTTGCATCGTTTTCTTCATAGTAGTAATACACAGTTATGTGTTGGTTTGAGATGTTGTCTACAAGCTTTGTTGCTATTTTTGAATGTTTTGATTTTTGGTATGGTATTCATGTGGTTTCTTAAAGACACTTTTATATATTGAAAGATTCTATAAATCTGTAGAAAGTAATTTTAATGTTAATATCGTTCAACCGTAGTTCTTGATTTGGTTACTTTTAAGCTATTAGGCTGAGTAGTGACAACAATTTTCGAGATTTTAAAGCATTTTCATTTCTTCCTACCACCTCAGAGACTATAGTTGCGTGGAATTATAGATGCATTTATACTCATACATCTATCATTCATCACATATTTTGAATGGTTATGATTTAAAGAAGCTTAAAAAAAACCTTAAAATTGTAATTTAGTTATATTAAATCTAAAATGATATAACCTATTTTAATTGTTTTACTAATTGAATGCAAGAACAATATCATTTAAAAATAAATAGGCACAATGTCAGTTACACATTGAAGTAAACACTACAATTTTTTCAATATTTAAATTAAAGAAGATCAAGAGCTGAACTAAAATCTAGGATATCAATTGAACCAAAGAGCATATGGCTTGAGCTAGCATTAATATGTGTGTTTGGGTTTGTAAAGCATGTATTCTATAGTAGAATTATAATAAAATTGAAAAGCTATTTGTTAATCATAACCAAGTATTTCCATTGAAAGACTAAGCTAAATCAAAAGTAATAACATAAATGACGGATGAAATGAGCTCCGATTACAAAGAAAGTTCAGAGCGCATGTAATGCATCTTACAAAGTAGATTAGCCACATAAAACTGACATCTTAAAAAATTTACAGAAAGAATAGAGAAAGTAAAAAAAAAGAAAAAAATATATAAGTTAAGAAAATGTTAAAAAAATGAAAGAATAAAATATTCCAAGCCTCTTGATGTATATACATACTCCAATGGTTCCACCATATTCATTTAGCACGACAGCCATGTGAACTTTTCTTATCCGGAACTCTCTCAAAAGATTCCATACTGACATCGAATCTATGATATGGTTAAAGATAAAAATAAGTTTCAATCACCAATACTTAAGAATATAATCACTAAAATTTAACATTTTAAATTCAGGATAAATGACAAAAGTATAAGGGCCAATATCACTGCCAATACTACAGTTCCTGATTCAGAGAATATCATTGAATCTATTGAAGCACTTGTTCGTTTAATCTGATTTTGTTATCACTTATTCTACAACGGTGAAATTCCAACTTTAATTACCAGGCACAAAGTAGGTTGGCATGTGTGCAATCTCTCTAACAGTAGATTCTTTCAGTTTCTCCACCTGTGCAAGAAAAAAAGGAACACTATCAAATAAGGATGCCAATACAGTAGTATAAAACTAAAAAATAATAATAGATTAAAAGAAAATTTCATACAGAATATGCATGTCTGATTGAGAAAAAGAACATTGATCATGCGCATCAAAACAAATAAAATTGTATCATAACTAACCTGCTCAACATATTCAATCATGTCCATAGCATATGCAATTCCAACAATATTATCTATACGCTCCTCAAATACAGGCACCCTGCAATAAAGTAGCCACTCACTTAAACCACTGATGAGCATAATATGTGAAATCAGTAGCACCTTTAAGCTTACCTGGAGTATTGATGGCTCTCCCATAACTTTTTAAAATCAATTAGAGTAGCACTAGCATCTATTGCAACTACATCCACCAGGGGAGTCATCACTTCCCGGACATACGTCTCTTTTATCTCAAGCACATTTTCAATCATGTCCTATAAAAGGTTGCAAGGAGGTGCAAAAAAAATTTTTTTAAGAGATATGCCTGATTTATAAAATCTAATCTAAAACTATGATATTTCTTAAAAAGGCTTATAGAGCCAAAAAAACATATATTTCCTTATATCATTCCTACATCAATATATAAATTTCCTTATATCAAATACTTGGTCAAATTAGAAAGAATTATTTCATATCTCACAAATCAATATACAATGTTTCAAATTAAATTCATACAAGGTAAAGGATTACAATATTTAAGATTTATAAAATGGCATTAGGAAAAAGAATAGGAATAGTTATCGAATTTAAGCCACAAGAATAAGTTTTTAACAATGTTTTACATTCTTGTTTATAGAAAGAGTCACATAGGTAATTTGAAGTAATTCAACTTTAAAACTAAATAAATCTTAATAAAGTTAAACCAACTCATCCGCTTAATGTAAAAGGGAATCTCGGTGAAAAAACTAGTCAACTGATTATTTATCTTCACAATAAATACATTAAAATTTTAATGGAATTGTAGGAATAAAAATAAAACTAGAATAAGCCAAATATCATCTTGAAGAAGTCTAGTACTGCATCACACATGCCCAGCCTAAATCACCCACTTATCATCACTTATAAAAACATTGACCGGATGCTATAAAGTTTGTTTGGACGCAGTAAAATCTATGAATAGTTTCAAAGTGATGTAAAAAAAAAGATGACGATGCTATGAATAAATACCAAGCTGATGATTCTGAACAATCATCACCTGTTCCTCTTCTTCTATAGCACCGCTCAACTCTGCACCTCTCAACATCAGCTTCAATTCATCCTCGGTGACATACGGTTCACTAAATAATGGCCAGGTATGCCAATAATTAACAATAAAGTTCACCAGGACTAAAAAATTTTGAGGAATAAAAAAATAAAAAAGAATGGAATCTTGCAAACAAATAATCGAGGTAGCTATTTATTATTGTTTTCTCAGAAACAAAGGACACATATGTTCAAATTGCTTTAAATAAAGGATGTATCAGATATAGCTCATTTTTCAAAAAAAAATCTATGCACGTGCTCTTGGACATGTGCAGGGCGTTGAACTAGTTTGGTATATCAAACTAGCATCCTGATCCTATACAGTCCAAATGGTTTAATAAACTATTTCTTCTAAAAGATCAAGGAAAAAGTTTGACTAGAACAGTAGATCTTCCAAGAAACTATAAACTCTTAATCCTGATTCTGAATAATCTAGATATCTTCTCAGTGATCAACAACTTCATTCTCACGCATTACCAAAATTGATCACAAAATAGAATGTCAGTTTGCTTCAATAGAAATGTATCTCGGAAGTAAGCATGGCATCTGTAAAGATAACACTTGCTAAAACAAGCATCAGAACCAATATGATTGTAGTTTCAAAGCAAGTATCTTTTTGCTAATGATGGTATTTTCTTCAACCAACATGAACCTATCTATATGTAGAACAATTAATAGTTCAAAAAGAACAAATTGGAAGTAAAGTTGTCACTGGAATTTCTTTTCACTTAGATAGCCCGAACGTGTAAGTGTTTTTTAAGTTACAGCGACTTTGTTATCCATCCAAATAACTTATAGATATAACTATTAAAAGAAAATATAATAGCAAAAGCATGAGCCATTATATCTTTGAGATATCCCTAGCTTAAGTACATTATTAAAACTGAAATGTGAATTCATGTCTCCTTAACAATGCAGTTAAGTATTTGACATACGGGATTACTGAAACAAAAATATACAATGCGAATTCCCATAAAGAAACACAGTTGGTATATAAAAATCATATATGTATGTAAAATAAAGCATAAGCAATTCGAACGATAGAGTGTTATGTACACTACTTACCTTCTACCTTTCAATCCTAGTATCTTCAGCATTCCCATGGATAGAAAAGTAACAACTCTTCCAACAGGATACAAGACCAAGGAAAGCCATGCAACAGGCCTGACCTAGTTACATCACATGACATTTGACAGGTATAAGAATTTCAATGCATTCTTTCTCGTATAAAATTCTATAAGTTACAACTACAAAAATGATAAATATCTCAGGCTAAATTCTACCATTCCACAAAATCAAGGAGCGATGTCCAGACCTGACAACAAATCTGGCAACCTCAGTAGCATTATGAACAGCTATACTTTTCGGAGTAATTTCTGTAAGTAGTAAAATTGCAACCTGAAATTAATATGGTAATAACATGTCATTAAATAATTCAGAAAGGTAGCTGGACAGACAGACTCACAAGCATTTAAACTTAAAGTGAAAAAAAAAAAGAAATTTAGTTTCATAATGCTAGTATAGTTTGAGGAGCAAATGCTAAGATGTGGGTGAAAGCAAGGAAGTGCCTGATTCTGGAGGAGAAAGCCTAAACCACAAAAAACAACTTTTATTAATAGGAAAATAGGGTTATAACACACATAAATTGAAAGAACATCACCAAAACATAAAACGACACAACGAACGCCTCAAAAGTGTATCCCAAGGGGGCAGTGGAGGTTGGCCCAGTGGATCCGGAGGCTTGAGACAGCAAAGGTGAATGTGAGAGAGGGACCAACAGAGTTGGAAGGTGAGTTGGAGGAGGGAGGCAGCAAGTTAGATGGCGGGAAAATTTGTTAGGCGGCTGGGAGGTAGGTTGGAAGATAGGGTAGCAGGTTGGGAAGGTGGGACAGCAGCTCAATTGAGAGGATGTGAGGGGTTTAGCAGCAATATGATGTGAGGTCCTGGGGGTTTGCGGCAGGGAAAATAGAAGGGAGGGGAGTGCAGGTAGCAGTGAGCCCCGCCGGCAGCTGTAGGTGAAGCTTGGGCTGCAGGGGAGACTTGCTGGAGAGAGCAACCGGTTGGCAGCAGGTCACAAAGGCCGTAGGATGTGATGGCAGCAGGAGGGTACGGTTCTTGGGGGGGGGCAGATGGAAGGGTCTGACGGCAGGCGGGCAGGAAATGGAAGGCTGACGGGGACGAGTCAAGCAGCAGGAAGGTGGAAGTGGAAAGCTGAAAAGTCACTGGATGCGGGAAACTATGGGGAAAAGAAACCGTGGTAAGGAAAGATGGCAGAGGTGGAAGTGGGAGACATAAATCACTGCAGGGGGAAAGGGATACAGCCGAAGCACCACCCTTTACGTCGGTTACAGCCCTGAATAGGACTTTGGCGGCTTTCCACACAAACTGAAATCAGAAAAAAAAACATAAGCTGAAAACATAGACAGCAAACACACATAAATAAGAGATTGATCGGTGGAAAATGAAAACAAAAATGGGGGAAATTTCACGTCAAATAAAAAGATGAAAAAGGGGACCGGTTCAGCCCCCCTCTCTCCCTAAAGCGGTTTGGGTCAAAATGGTTCAACTTTTGGAGGAAAAACTCGTGTCATTCTCCTAAGGTTAGGGGAGCTTCAACCTCATTCATCGAAGCTTCTGGATCCTCATGGTACGAAGTAAGTCAACACATTATGGTAGAATAGTTAATCATCCTCTTTTGACACATCCTGAGCGGGAACTGCATATATAGGTGGGTTCCCACAATGCAACTCTCAAGCCCTTACATTTGAAATCATCTTTTTCCACTTCTCGTGTCTAGCGTGCGGGGGTTAAGTAATAGGTATGAGAGGAAACTCAATTCCGTAATGAAATATGTGGCAAGTTGCGTCATTCTCAATGGCACTCCCTCGAGAGAGGCCTCCTCCCCCTAGATAAGATCTGGATCTCATTGCAGAATTTTTGTCTCCATCAAGCTTCTTGGGCCCACTACAAAGTTGGGGTTATCTCTTTCATCCAAATATCTAACGAGGTGTCCCATGCTGACATAAAAGTTACCTTTAAATACCTCCATGTAATGTTCTCGAAATGAAACACAATGAAGTTATTTTAAATAGGGTTGTCAAAACGGCTCGTTCGCGAAAAACTCCAAAAAACATTAAATGCGGAATTCAATGAAGATTTTTTTTTCCATAATACATATACTTGTAAAATATTAGTTTAATTTTCCTCCCAAAAATAAGTTACAATAGCTTAGAAAAAACATTTAGGTAAATCCTTAGATACAATTATATATATATATATATATATAGATATATCTTTGATGAGTAGTATTTTTAAAAAATTTAATTGACTACAAGGCTACAAAGATAAATATTAATGAAGATAATAAAATAAAAATTATTAAATTAGTTTCAAATGATGTTTTAAATCTTGTCTCAATCCTTAACATCATATGGCCACATGATTAGGGTTGTCAAAATGCCTCTTTGTTCGTGAACGGCTCGTGTTCGGCTGGCTAAGCAAACAAGCCGAACACGAACATATTTTTTGAGTTCAAAATATAAACGAGCCAAACGCGAGCCGTGTTCGACTCGTTTACACCCCTAATTTCAAACATGTTAGACCTCCCTCAGTCGAGGCAACTCAGGAGAACTATACATCTGAAAAATCTGCATCTCGATTATCCGTGGTAGACATGTATTTGATATCAACTCATCAAACTCATAACCCTTGTAGATATCCAAGATCATTCATGTTGAAGTTCCTCTTACCATCCACAGGATGCTAACTCGAGGCACAATAATCTCATGATATGTTGGGCTACCCAATACCTCAGAGTCACTACCTTCTAGAGCGGTGACTGTTACCTCTGTTGGAGTCTTTATCTCAGGTTCAACTGAATTTGTTGGTGTCTCTTTTTTGCTAGTTGCAAGTGGAGAATCCTCTCGAAAGTCTTCCTCTTCTTTCTAATCATCGTTCATCTCTTCAACTGTAAGCTGGTACTCCCCGTTTATGTCCTTACTGCCTTCAGTGTCTGCGGTGTTTTTACCCAACTTTTCGATGACGTCCAACTCAGTGAAATATATCACTCCCCCGGTTGTGCATTATGCCTCAACATGTCCAAATCCGTGGAACTTACTACATTTTCTGGTTGTCACAGACTTACGGATTGATTTCGTTAGATAGCAGTCAGGGGGGTCGTTTGGTGTTGCGGTATCTCTGCTTCGAAAGCTAGAGTCTGCAACTATTGGAGGTAGTAAGTAGAAATTGGCGTCGTGTTTCCCGCTTCATCATCATATCTTCTCGTTCTTCACTTCGACCTTTTGAATCACAATCGAGGGTAGCCTCTCATTGGATTTCATCTTCAATGTATGAAATCCATCGTCGAAGTCGGCGGATCTCTCACTATATCTCCTCTCAGATAGGCTCGGTCATGTATCTCATCAGTGACATGACTAAGGTTTAGGGTTGGGAGGTGAAAGATGGTGCATGAGAATAATTAAATGTGTGTAAATTTTGATTTGGGATTGCCGATCTTAAAAATTAGCAAAAAGATTTAGGGTTTAGTTTTGGAATGGGTGGTTCTGGGTAGGAAGGAATATTTTCTGGTTGGGGGTAAGGCAGATGTTAGGGAACTTTAGGATAGGGATTAGGGTTGGGCTAGCTCTGATACCAAATAATACCGAAAGAGAAGGCCCAAACCAACTTTTATTAATAGGAAAATACGGTTACAACACACACAAACTGAAAAAACTTCACCAAAACATAAAACGACAAAACGAAAATCTCGAAATTGTATCCTAAGGGAGTGCTGGAGGTTGGTCCGGTGGAACTGGAGGCTTGGGACAGCAAGGGTGAATGCGGGAAAGGGACCAACAGAGCTGGAAGGTGAGCTGGAGGAGGGAGGAAGCGGGTTAAGTTCGTGGGAAGATTTGTTGGGGGGCCGGGAGGTAGGTTGGAAGGTAGGGCAGCAGGTTGGGAACGTGGGACAGCAGCTGAATTGGGAGGATGTGGGTTTAGCAGCAATATGATGTGAGGGCATGGGGGTCTGCATCAGAGAAAATAGGAGGGAGGGAGTGCAGGTGGCAGTGAGGCCCCTCGGCAGCTGTAGGCGGAGCTTGGGCTGCATGGGATACTTGCTGGGAAACGGGAGGAGCAACCAGCTAGCAGTAGGCCACAAAGGTTGTAGGATGTGATGGCGGCAGGAAGTTACGGTTCTTGTGGGTTGCGGTTCAGTAGAGGGTGGGGTCTAACAACAGGGGGGCGGTAAGTGGAAGGCTGACGGGGATGAGTTTAGCGGCAGGAATGTGGAAGTGGAAGGCTGACGGGATGTTGGATGCGGGAAACTGCGGGGAAAAGTAGTTGTGGTAAGGAAGAATGACGGAGGAGGAAGTCAGAGAAATAAATCATCATGGGGGGATAGAGATACAGCCGAAGCACTACCCTTTCCGTCGGATACAGCCATCGAAGGGAAAAACAAGATGTCGGTGGTTGTCCTCACAAACTGAGATCAGATAAAATAACATAAGCTGAAAACCTAAAAACCAAACATATATAAATAGGAGATAGATAAGCGGGAAATGAAAACAGAAAAAGGGGGTGGGTCAGCTCCCATCTCCCAATTGAACCGGTTTGGGCCAAACCGGTTCAGGCTTTTAAGGAAAACTCCCATGTCAGTGCCTTAGAATGAACTATCAAAGCAAAATGTAGAAAGTGTGATCCGCTATGGAGAAAATTTCAGTTTAGTGTAGATGAAGTCGTGAAGTTATGAGCGTGAGAAACAAAATACTAAAACAGGTGAACAAGTTTCTGCTCTAGCACAACAATAAATTATCCTCAATGCTGAAGAGGCAACCAATAGAGCAGCTAAATTTGCTCAAGGTTTAACTATTTCTACAAAATTGATGCGTGGCAGCAATGAAGTAAAATCCCACTTTTGTATGTGTGTATTTACAGATAAAGCCTAAAATAAGAAAAACAATAGGAGGGCATTGTGAGAGAAACATAACACAAATTTTGAAAATGCAAAGTATGCCAACAGGCCATGTGCCTTAGTATAGGCACTGTATAGTATAATTGACATAAACTAAAATAAAACCAAATAAAAGTCATACGATTAACCAATGGCAAATAGGGGGATGTGAAGCTTTCTTCAAATATTTGTAATAGCTCCAAAGATAATCATTCAAAAGGACAAGGCAAGGAGATTCAATATGTACTATTTGGATCCCATTGGGTCGGATGTGATTTAACCTCCAACTTGGAAAAAGATAAATAAATGTCCTTACATTTATGAGGAACAAAATTGCTTATTTTGATGTTGAATAAAAATATGAAACAGCCCATTTTTTTCATGGGATGCTTATTCGTAATTTAACTAATACTAGTTATGCAATTTTTTCCTCATTTCTTATATTTTTCTCTCCTTCAGCCTAATAAAAAAGGTTTGTCAAATCCCTTGAAATCCTTCTTATTGCACGTGAAAGAACTCACATATGTGATTCAATTAATTCAAGCAATAAAATAAAGACCAAATACTGCACATAAGTTTCAATATGTTCGAATAAAAATCTAAACAACAAGTATCACACTTCCCAATAAAATATGAGACATACAGTCATAACAGCTGTAGCAGCACTAACTCCAGCTTCACCAAAAATTGTTGTTGCTGCTTCAGTGGCAAGGGCCGTTGCACCAATATTGACAACCCTATAACATACAAAAAGAAAAAAGTTGTCAGAAAAGTATTGAAAATCATTTTATTAAAAGTATAATATTAGAATAAAGATCATAAAACAATTTTCACTACGTGGTTCCAATAAGAATGGTAGTCAGGAAACGTGTAACATCACTACTAAGCATCCGGAAAACACCATTTTCAGGTTCTTTATCGGCCAGCTCACGAACCTGATGAAATAAAATGATATAAAGTTTAATAATAGATTATCTCAGAAAAAAATTTCATCTAGGATGTATCATAACAAGGAGATGCGTGTAAACTTCAAAAAAAAGAATGCAAATAAGTGTTATTCAACATAAATCATTATGTAATAATTAACAACTTAAAAATTCAAAGTTCCTATAATTGTTGAACTAATTTAACAAAAATGACCATTAACCTTTGTGCATTTCTCCCGCAAAGCTAATGCTTTCTAAAACATCTATAAATAGCTAGAGATTGGAAACCATATAACCTTGCAGCACTTAATAATCAAAAGACCATTGAGCTCATGCTTACGTACTGACTGACAATGTTGCCTGGCATAGGCGCTCAATTTTGCCTGCTCCTGAGAAATAATCTTAAGTTAAATATATAGTAGAATCTCTAAGGGGCAATTTGAGATCACTTTTAATTTTAGTTTTTAGTTTTCCATTGTATTTTTGCTTATGTTTTGATATCCAAAAAAAATAAAATGGTATCTTAAATGTAGAATTTTTTTTTTGTTTTTTATTTTAATATTGCATAGTTCGATTTATTTTGTGGGTTGAAGGCGGTCAACGCACCACTACAGAAAGAGTTGGTGAACAAAATGGTGATGTCAGTAGCATCAGCATGGCACTAGCTAGTGGCAAAAGAGGAGTTGGCCAACAAGACAAGAGAGGCTCCCAGGCATAGTGCATTTTGTTGAGTGGTCACAATTTCATATTTAGAAAATAATGAAAACAACAAAAAATTATTTTTGATGTTTTAAACAACTTGATAGAAAAATCAAAATAAAAAGTAATGTCAAAAATGCCTAAGCTACTGATTTAACTAAATTGCATTAGTATATATGAAATAGAAAATTCGGCAGCATGAAAATAAATTAGGTAAGATAAGAAAGAAAAAAGATAAATAATGTGAGCTAATGTATAGTAATTTAGCCACCCAATAGACTTAACCTCTACTCTCAGAATTTATAATAATCTCCCATCTGCTAACTTAAAGCGGAAAATTTTTTCTTGCATAAATAATAGAGAAATCTAAAATACTAATACCCAATAAAAGAAATGCATTACTCCTATTACAACCTGCTTGTTAATCAAAATCCACTTCAAAGCGACAGCGTGGCCACTTCTAGCACACCCACTGGAAAATCAACCTTTAGCAAAAGCTTTTGTCGAAATCCAGGATCTCTCACTCTAAATCACTAAAAGAAAAATTGGATAGCCAAATTCTCAAATATGAGGATGGAAGTTTTATAATACGCAGATGGCTTGGTATACTCTTTAATTTTCTCTATCTAGATTCTCACCCTTAGGCCTTAGGATTTATAAGTGTATAAATTCATACTCTTAGCTAACAACCCGTTATTAATAACAACCTAGCAATAATTATCAACCAACATCACATAAATCTTCAATTAATGTGAATTTGAATTAGAGTTTCAAGTTGTCAACTGATTGAACTGCACATTCTTGATTTTATAATATGAATTAATTTTGAATGAGGAATCATGTGGCATAAAACAATGAACTTTATACAATACAATTAGTTTTGTCTTTTGAATCCCTCCCTCCCTCCCTCCTTCCCGCCCTCTCTTTATCTTTAAATATTAATTCAATTGATTTTATTTGAAATATAGCATATCATAAAGTGTGATCATAAGACCAACTTTCAACAATTATTAAATAATCAAATAGATCAAATTAATTTGAACATGAGATCAGCTTGATCATACAATACAATTCAATATTAGACAATAAGGTTAGCTCTAAATTTGTTAATTCAACTTATTACATGGATTTTTTTTTTTTTAGTTATATGTGTGTGCAAGTTATCTTGATATCCTCAACAACTCAAATAAAATATTTTATTCAAAAAATTATAAAAAAATAGTTTGGCCTTTAAGCTTTGATCAAATGATGTCGAATGGATTCACTCAAACTAATGAAGCCTCCAACTTTACTTAAGTCGGACATGAACTTCAATATACATTTATGGGGTGTTTGATACCGTACTTTTAAAAGGATTTAAATTAGATTTAACATAAATCAAGCCAAACACAATAAATAGATTAGATAATTTCGTTGTTAAGTTAAATACAATTTTTTGCTTATTTTGTTTATTAAATCCGAATTTATTAAAGCCACTTATTAGTTGGATTTAACGGATTTAACGCAGAAAAAAAAATATCAAATAGATTTATGTCAAACACATCAAATAGATTTATTTAGATTTAACCTTATATGAACCAAACATTAGTTCGGATTTAATAATATTTAGATTTGATAAATTCAAAATTACTGGATTTAGTAAATCCTATTTAACTTAAATCCTACTTGTAGCCAAACACCAACTTAATCTTAATTTGTATTTTTAACTTAAGTTGAAGTAAAATCATTCACTAATGCACTAACCTTAGATAAAATTCTTGGCACATCAATCATCAAAATCATTATACAAACATAAGATCGTAGAACAAAATTAGGGTTTTCTAGATCAAGTCTTGAAAACCCTCCACCAAAATTCATGTATACTTCAAAGAATGTATCCAACTCCAAAACACATCTCCATACATTCATATACCCCTTCCAATCAAATCTATAACCTCAATCCTTCTCCATTCATCAGCCTTAATTTTCAAATCCAAGAATAGTGCTCTCAACTTTGTCCCACATCCAATGATTGGCCGACAAATTCTTCAAGTCACCACCCCCATAATCCACAACAAATATTCCAAGGGTCATTACCACTTCAAGGACACACTGCTATCACTATTCCAAGGCTAAATCGAAAACTTTTACAACATCTTAACGAAGAGAGGCAGATGAGGAATCAGTTATGAAATCACAACCAGTATAAATACAGTTCAGGTAATTTAGTAATAATGAGACCACGGTAAAATCAAATCCCTAGAGTTTAGCATCACACAGCCAAAGCCCTACGTGATTTGAGCCATCGCATTTTTTTTGTGGGAAATCTGGAAAACAGCAAATATTGGTTGCAAAATGACTTCAAAATAGAGGGAAGGAAAAAAATGATTTGAAGCTCTATATCTAGTTGATGACCCTCATCAGAGAATAGGCAAACTCTCCAATGATTAATCGCAACTTTTCCCACTCACGTTAATGTAGACTTACCTTCCACGGCCATAAGGTGGTAATCGACGTTTCCGCCATTGAAAAGAAAGCTGACAGACCCAACAAAGCTGCCAGAATCAATCCCTGGTCCTTGAAAACCTGAAGAACCTGCAAAAACTTCGGCCACGCTCCTCTAAGCGCCAGCGGTACATGCCCCGAAAACCCTACCTCAGCACCCGTCACGCTCAAATTCGACGCAACAGCTCTCTGAGACGCTATCACAAGCACACCAAAACCCGCAAGCGCACCAAGCGCTATAAAACGGAGACTATGCAACAGGAATCTGACAATGACCGCTCCGGAAGCAACAGGTTCTATGCTCTGAGCCTCTGTAGTGGAAGACGAGCGCATGTTGGAGTACTTGTGGTGGATCTTGGTGGCCATGGAGAGGAAGCGGGATTGTCGACACGCAATTTGTGCGGGAATTTCACGACGCCTTTGCCTGAGGTTATCTTTGCTGAAGGTGACGACGGAAAAAGTTGTAGTGTGTCGGCGAAATAAGGCAGATTTATCGGCGAAATCCATTGATGGGAATCGAGAAAGAGATCGAAGAGATGAAATCGAGGAGTAGAGAACCATCTTTGGTCCTCCAAAGTTTCTTTTAGCAGAGAGACATCGAGTGAGGGAGCTGAGAAGTCCCCCGTATTGTTATGGGGGATTATTGCTTGCGGACACCGCATTTATCTCTGCATGCGGTGTTCGATCCTGGCCGTAGTTCACGGTGATCTACGGTCAGGATTATTTTCGTTTTTTAAAAAAAAAATTAAAAAATTTTAGGTGGGGCCCACCGAAATACATCAGGAACGTAAATCATGTAATTTACGGTTCGGATCGGCGTCCGCACGCAAGCTGTGCGGACGCCGATCCGCATGGAATAATTTTTCGTATTGTTATATAGCACCAATTTTTTTATGAGGTTTCTTTTAACAAGAAATTGAAATTGAAGTTTTTTGTGTTCAAACTTTAAGGCTCTGTTTGGGCAGCTGTCCCAGAAAGTTAATGTGAGGAAGCAGTTGTAGAAAATCTGGTTGTCTGTTTGGTGCAGCTCTGTCAAACCAGCTGTCAGTAGGGCTGTCAAAAAAGCTCGTTGTTCGCGAACAGTTCGTGTTCGGTTCGTCAATAAGTTCGTGTTTGATTCGTTCGATAAGTAAACGAGACGAACATGAACAAATTTTTTTCGTTCGGTTTGTTAAACGAACCAAACAAGAACAGTGATGCGTTCGTTCGTGTTCGAATCGTTATTGTTTGAAATATAAAATAATTTAAAATAATTATATATAAAAAATTTATGATATTTTAAAACATTAAATTTTATAAATTATAATATATAATAAATTAATAATAATAATATATTAATATACTATAGTAGTAATATACTAATATAGATATTGTATATTTATATAATATAAGTTATATAATTAATATATAATATTATTTTTATATATTAATATTAGGGATGTCAAACTGGCTAGTCGTTCGCGAACAGCTTGTGTCCGGTTCGTGTTCGACTCGTTCGTTAAGAAACGAATACGAGCTTATTTCAAACAAACTAAATTTTAAACGAACCGAACACGAACACAAGCTTTGTTCGTTCGTGTTCGGTTCGTTTACACCCCTAGCTGTCAGTTTGTAAAAAAAAGACCATACTGCCCTTGTTTGATAAAATTATTGAAAGAATAGTATAATAATCAAAATTTTGAAACTTCAGTAAGACACCAAAGTATTAACAACTTCTGCTTAGAAATAAAAACACATATGCAACACAATCTTATATATTTGCATATTAAGGTTATAAAATAATTTGTGAAAACTTCAGGTCTTAATTAAAAATAGTTATAAATTGTTATAAAATAATTTGATATTTTAAAAGTTATGGGCTTAATTATATTTTTTAAAAATAATATATTCATAGATAGAAAGCTTTCACCGAACTTAGCCAAGACCGCTGAAAAAATACGAATTTCAAAAAAACTGTCAAAATACAGTTTGCTCAAATATACAAAACTATGGTGCGATGCCGCATCGCCACTGCACCGCTGCCCCAAACAGATATTTAGTAAAATAGTGCCTTCGAGTATCTCCCAAAGCTATTCGCAAGAACAAAATTTTCACTATTTTTTATGTGAGAAACCTTCCATGCTCCAACACATTTTTCAAAAAAAAAAAACTTTACTGAATGACAGAGCTGCTCGAAATGAAACCTAATATGATATTAAAAAAATAGTATTATTATTATTATTTAAAAGTAAAATACATTTTTGTCATCTATAAGTCTAAAATATTAATGCATTAAATTCACATGCATGCCACACAATATTTATGTGTTTATGTGTGTCTGCCTGACAAATATAAAGTATATATGCAAATTCCAAAAAAAAAAAACCTTATATAAGGGAAAAGAATGATTTTGCAAGGGTGTGCTTGGTATAATGAACCAGTAGAATGTTGTGATTACCTTATTGAACTCGTATGACTTAATTATTTTAAGCCCAATTTGACTATGAACAAATATTGTATTATAATAGAAGATAATTGATATTCTTTGTTAATCTGGACTTATAAAATTGTCTTGAATAAAAAAATAAAATAATATATATTAAGTGCATGAAAAAAATATGATATATCAAAATGCCGACATACTGTAAATTTGTGGGTCTAATTATGAAATGATAGTTTCAAGACTGTTTCAAGAATCGGTGTTTGCATTTCTAAAACTTTTCACGAATTTTATATGAGCATGACATGCTTTATTTTATTTAAGGGTTAGCTAAATGGGCAAGCCACTGAATTTAATTATACATCAAGTGAGGCTATCTTCAAGAACAACTCATGATTAAATCCGGTGTTATTATTTCTACATATCACAAAGTTTAATTAAATTCAATTAATTATGGAATTCCATGCGAAATCGGCTATAAAACTAGAACAGCTCTTATCGAAAGTCAATAATAAAATACAAGCATTGAATACACAAAGGATTAATATTGCTTTCGATCATCCTATGATTGGCCTTTAAGATCTAGATAATCAAATTGATTTTTTGGGCTAAAGCTCATTTTATAAGTTTAAGACTTATATTTCAATGTAATAAAATCATAGAAAGGACTAATACAAGTCATACTATGAGGAAAAAATGTTAATAGCTCCATCTCAATATCTGAACTAATATGAATTCCATTTATATGAGTAGGAAGCTCAAGCATATTCTAAGAGATAAAAATGGGACTTATAAACTTTACTGAAATCCATGAGTGAAGTAGCTCAAATCTTTGGGCTTACACCAATTCTAGAGATGGTTGTCAATTAAAGCTTCAACTCACTTGGTCATAAACTCTCACCTCTCGGTGACCAAAACCCGTGACCACGATACAACTACCTGAAAAGGCAACAACGAAATCATGTAGTACATAGGTCTATGGAAATCCCATATTTATGCTCTTAACAGAAACCATTAGAAAGGTAACCCTATTCTTTCTCCCCCTTTGCCCTCACCTGCCTTTTCGCAGTTGAGCTTCTCTAAATGCATGCACGACAACATATGATATTTAAGCTAATATGATTTAATAAATCATGTAAATTCATATTCAATAAATCCTAAGAGGGTTAAATGAAAAAAAAAAAACTATTTGAAAACTAATTTAGTAAATTCTGTTAAATGCAAGAACTTTTTGATAAATTTTGTGAGTATTTAAAAATATATTATCATCATTAGCTAATAAAAAATCATAATAGAATTTAATAAATAATATAGTTTCGACTTAAAACATGACAAAACAGTAAAAATCTCCTACTTCCTTCAATTGAATTAATATTTTATTTTAAATTATGATAATTAATAATTATATTATTACTAAATAAATTAATTATTAATTTTAATATTTAAAATTAATGATTAAATAGAAGTTTAAAATCTACAAAAGAATAATTAATTAAATACTAATTATTTTAATTAAAAATTATTTATTAATTTTTGTATGAAAAAAAATTAATATTTTTTAATTAATTACTAATTAAATAGTATGTATAAAATGATTTAATTATATTAAATCTGATGCTATTTTAACTAGTTATTAATTATAAATCAAATAATTAAATTAAATTAAATTAATAAAATCCTCACCTACATCCATCCTCCTTCCCCACCTCTCTGTGTTTAGTCCAAAACCATCTCCCCTTCGCGATACAGTCGCAATTGGGAGCTAGATGAGAACTTGACGACGGGATCGCGGCTTACAGATACTGGAAACTCCCATTTTTTTCCTCCTTCCACTCCTCTCCTACTTGAAACCATTCATTAAGGTAACTTCACGTCTTCTCTTTCTCGCGAAGCGTTCGTCCCGGATTTGCTAAATCCACTGATTCAAGGGATTTAGTAAATCCGGGTTTTAAGGCCGAAATCCGTGAAATCCGGATTTATGAAATCTGAGGCTTTATTTTGTCCAAAATGACTGTCTGGCATGATTTAGGTTAAATCCTGCTCTAAACCAGTAGGCCCTAAATAAGGGAAAACAATAATTTGTAAATTTGTAGGTGGCTATAATGAATGAGTAGAATGCCGAAATGCCGAGCTTACCTAATTGAGCTCATTTTCTTATTCTTTGATTTGTGCTGCAGATTATTCTAAGCTAAAATTGACTATAATCAGATAGTTATTGTTGTATAAATTGTACTTTATTGAAAGATAATTAATCTACTCCGCCTATCTAAACTTATAAAATATTTACTAATAAAAAAAAAAAGAAAGAAATTTTAAGTGTTGACTGCTACAACCTCAAGAAATTTGAACTTGCATGTCTCACAACCTACATATTTGTACAAATATCTTTTTTCTTATGTTTATATTCTCATATAGCAAAAAAAAAAAAAAATAAAAATAAAAATAAATAATAATAATAATAATAATGAAAATAACCTTGAAATGTTTACATCTTTCAAATTACATCCCACCAGAATAATACATAAACACCATTCTTGTCTCTTCCATGGCTTTTGTTTTATTTATCCATTATTATGGAAGGTTTTGAAAGCCGGAACCGACATCCAACTACAATGAGAAAATGTTCAATGTTAGAAGACTATTGGATAGTGTAATAAATATTAAACAATAACAACAACAATAACAAAGCCTTAATCCCACTACGTGGGGTCGGCTACATGAATCTTTTTTCTCCATTGCGTCCTATTTAGTGTCATATTTTCATTTAGTTCTAGTAAATTAAGATCATCTTTAATACAATAAGCCCAAGTCTTCTTAGGTCTACCCCTGCCTTTCTTAACACAAGTCGAATCTAAAACATCTACTCTCCTAATTAGATGGTCGACGTTTAATATGACCAAACCATCTAAGACGACTTTCTCTAATTTTGTCCATCACGGGAGCTACACCAACCCTATCACGGATATATTCATTTTGCATTTTGTCTATAAGTGTAAAGCTACTCATCCACCTAATCATTCTCATCTCGGCAACACTTAACTTATTGTTATGCTTCTCTTTTAAAGGCCAACATGCAACGCCATATAGCATTGCAGGTGTCACCACCGTCTTATAAAATTTTTCTTTCATTCTAAGCGGTACTTTTCTATCACACAAAAGGCCCGAAGCATTTCTCCACTTCAACCAATCAACT